GTATGGACTTTTCTACTATTTCCTAGCACTGCATATGCTATTACAGAAAAGATAATAAGTGTATTGTGCTAGTGAATATTTAATTCAAAAAGGTGTCTCTGCAGACCTTCTGCAGCAATTCTTTCTGTCCTATGAAAAATATAGCATGGCCTTCCTATTGCCACCCTCTGGGATTACAGCTTCTGTCCAGGCTTGACTGTTGCTTAAGACTTCTGCAGGCCTCCCTGCTTATTCCTCTTCCTCATCTCTTTGCTTTACTCCACAGAACCATCTTTGGCTTTGTCAAGTGGGGAAGAGATTATTCAGAGCTACAGTGGTACCTCGGGTTAAGAACTTAATTTGTTCTGGAGGTCTGTTCTTAACCTGAAACTGTTCTTAACCTGAAGCACCACTTTAGTTAATGGGGCCTCCTGCTGCCGCTGCGCCACCGCTGCACGATTTCTGTTCTCATCCTGAAGCAAAGTTCGTAACCCGAGGTAATATTTCTGGGTTAGCGGAGTCTGTAACCTGAAGCGTATGTAACCTGAAGTATATTGTAACCTGAGGTACCACTGTATTGCCTTCTGCAAAGTGAGGACCAAATGTCCAAGATGAGAAATTTTGATATACTCATGTGAGGTTCTGCATAACCAGCTTCCCTTCAAAACAGGTAGGAGTTGTTTGGGGTTTTTTCAAGGAAAGGAAGAAGCAATATTTATATAGTATCTTATTCATGGATTTGGATACTGGCCTTTTTAAAAAAGCTTTCTTTCTTTCTAGTTCAGTTACATCGCTTGTTGTTTATGTGAAACAATGCTACATAACCTCATTTTCATTCTGGAATGAATATATATATATATATATATATATGTATATATATATATATATATGAAAATAATAAGTGTTTGCAATGCAAAACACATAACATATAAATGGAAGGAGAAGAGCAAACATACATAAATTTATATCCTAATTATGTTTGTAAAGTGGTAATATATTCTTGTGCTATTGGAAGCATCAAAATAGTCTCTTTATGACGAAGGATGTATGAGGGCACACCGAACCTCAATAAAACAAGGCATGAGGCAGATTCTAAAGCACCAAACAGATCAGTCCTGCATAACTTGTTATCTACCAATGTAAACTGGCCTTCCTTCTGGCCCCTGGACACCTCTGCCTCACAATTTATTATGATCCCAAGGAAACCAGGAATTGTAAAATGCCCTTAACGCATCATTCTATGAGTCTTGTGGGTTGTAAGCCTTAAATAGACAAATGTCTTTCAGTTGCATTCTGTATGATTTTTTCAGCACAATGGCCATTTACAAGGAGCCCCAAGGAGGTTAGATTGGCCTCATCCAGGGACAGGGCCTTTTCAGCTCTGGCCCTGGTCTGGTGGAATGCCTTACCACAGGAGATCAGGGCCCTGAGGGATTGACATCTTTCCGCAGGACCTGCAAGACGGAGCTGTTCTGCCTGACCTTTGGGCTGGACTCAGTCTAACCCCCGCTTTCATTTTTTTTTATATGGAACCCCTTATGTGGGATTTGTATATAAATTTTCCCTCGGCTCTTTTTGCTGGCCCATGTAGGACCAGCATGGATAGTTGGCCCCAGGGATTATTTGACGTTTTCTCCCCTTATGGCTTTGATATTTAGGCTACCACTAAAACGAGGCTGCATTTTAAACTGTATTTCAACTTATATTTAATCAACTTTTAAAAATAATGATTTTACTGTATTTCTATTTAGTGTTAGCTACCAGTCTTGGCTGGGGAGGATGGGGGTATAAATAAATAATAATTATTATTATTATTATTATTATTATTTTATCCTAGTCATCAGGGTCTTGGGTGAATGGGAACATTTCCCAGACAGAAGAACATGTGTGTACTCAGGGTGCCCCATTAGAGGGTTGTAGATGTAAGAGGAGAGCAGACAGGCCATAGAGCTTCTACCAGAGGCCACAATTCTTGGCACGACCCTGTACAAAGTTTCAGGCCTCCAGCAGGAGTAAATGGATATTTTACTCAATGATGTAGCCAAACTCTTCCTACATCTGAAATCAAAGTTGTGGCTTTATCCCAGATCATTGTCTGTCCATTCAGCGTATTTGTTCAAGACTTATCACCAAGACTTTAAACGTTTACTGCCACAGGTTTTCAAATAGAAATGTGATCAAGAAACCTAAATAACACATTTTCATTCATCCAACATATATATTTTTCAATCGAAAACATGCAGTACCATAAATGATTTAACAAGATCTGATTCTATATACAGAAATACCTTGCACTCCCAGACCCTGGAAACAGATGCTCATCACAGCAGAGGATAGACATTAATTGTACATAAATATTTTCCTCGGAACTACTGGGCACATAATACATAAAGTACAGTTTTATAAGTGACATACTCAGCCTGATCTGAAAGGAGATAAATCAGGGATATTAATAAAATAAAACAGGGATGTTAATAAAATGTTTTTTCTTTATCTGTTTTTCCCCCCTCCCAGCTATTCTATCAAAACCCTTGCTGACAATTATTTGTTGTAATTCCCCACAGCTGAGGAACAGAATAGCGTTCTAGAAAATGAAGCTGCAGTAATAAACATTTTGTTTGGGCGTGAGAAAAGTGCCAGCATCTAGCAGTGGACAAGAGCTTATTGTCACTAGATGGAAGAATGTAGCACTGCCACCAAAAGAACATGGTTCTATTTTAACACCAAGGCCTCTCGTAGAAGCCATAATGACAATGATTATCATAATTATTATTATTTGTCGAGTGCTTAAAATAGACGAAGCACTCGCTGTTCTTCTTGCCACATCTCTTAAACAAATTTGTAAGGATGCCTGGGGCATATTTTTCACAAAGATGTGGTCTGTATTACCAACACATTTTCTGTTGAATTTCCAATTGTGTTTTTACCACATTTTTGGTTCCTTAAATGTAGAAATTCAGAAGGTCCTGCAAATATGACTGGTCATCTGGCACTTCAAATTAAAGTCGAAGTCTCTTTGCTTCAAAGTGGTGCCAAAATTTAGGCTGCACCAGATTATCATTAGGCAGTAGATCCCCACGCTAACTTCTGTTGAGAGACTACACTTGTCTGGTGGGGCAAAGCATGCTGATGATGCTAATGTACATCACAACATTGATTTCAGATGCAACTTTAGAGAAACCTAATTTTAACAAATGATTCCTAGCGTCACGAGAAGAAAGTGCTAGGCTTAGCAAAGTTATTTTGTTGACCCCAATACTCATTCCACTCTCCCTTCAATGTACTTTTATTGCCGAATCAGTCACAGTCCCATTCATCTTAAGAGCTGAAGCGGGGGGGGGGGGAGGCATATATGCATCCTCTAGGTCCAGACTTGGAGGCTCCACAGAACCTAGGACTTGCCGATCAAAAGGTCGGCGGTTCGAATCCCCACGACGGGGTGAGCTCCCATTGTTCAGTCCCAGTTCCTGCCAACCTAGCAGTTTGAAAGCACATCAAAGTGCAAGTAGATAAATAGCTACCACTCTGGCAGGAAGGTAAACAGTGTTTCCGTGCACTGCTCTGGTTCGCCAGAAGCGGCTTAGTCATTCTGGCCACATGACCCGAAAGCTGTACGCCGGCTCCCTCGGCCAATAAAGCGAGATGAGCGCCGCAACCCCAGAGTCAGCCACGACTGGACCTAATGGTCAGGGGTCCCTTTACCTTTTACCATAACAACTAAATAGGATTTTCATTCTCCTCCAATGGCACTCGCCTCAAAAGAGTCAAATGTTTTCCAGTACCTGGTTCAGGTGTTCACAGATGTTCTATCCATAAGTTCCCACTTCCTTCTCTGCCTCCTTCTATTTCCCACCCAAACCTCATAAACTTTTTGCAGGACAGAAAGTGGAAGCAGCAGTAGAATCTTGAACCATCCTTTTCACAGGCAGGAAAGGGGACTGGCACTCCATGTCCCAGCATCCCTGACGGGGGAAAAAAATCTATTTGTGTCAATCTCCACCAACAGAGATGTGAAGGGGTGCTTTGAGCGTTGGGGTGGGCAGGATGTTGCTTGCCCCAGTCCTACTCTTGAGGAACACAATAGGGCCACTCACATTTGCAACATCTGTAAAGTGACTCACCGTTTGTGGAATTCTGTCCCCAGGGAAGCTTGCCAGGCACCTTCATTACATATCTTGAGGCGCCAGGAGGAAACATTTCTTTTTACCCCGGCCTTGGGCTGAGTGACATTCTATGGCCTTTTAAATGTGGTTGTGGGAGGGGGTGTTATTAGTTTGTACTTCATTGGTATTTTGTGTTCCGAAAGTTTTCAAACAGAGCAGCTTTCCAAAAGCTAAGCCAAATAGAGGTGTGTGTTTGGAGGGAGTCTGTATTCTGCCGCAGGTGGCTGCTAAGCTAGTTTTAGAAATATTACTATGAAAGAGATACCGCCATAGCTTCAGTGGCCATGTTCCTTAACACCACAGTCCAAACTCAAAATCAGTTGCAACGAGAGAGTTTAGATTCAACAGATCTTGGATTTTTCTGGCCACCTGGCATAAATCGCCAAAAAGAAGTATTCTTAGGCACACTGGACCAAGGCAAGACTTACACCTATTCTGAATACTTTCCAGTCATGTGGCATAGAGCAAAAACCTCAAAATGCAGGCCTGTACTTACTTGTCAGCTCAGCCAGCAGAAGCCCCCTCCCAGAGGGTCCTGAACAGAATTTGGACTAGAGGTAACTTATGCTTGTGTAAGTTACACCAGTTTCCCATAGTTAGGATTGTTCTGTAAGTTAATGTGCTCTGTACCATTATTTTACTATCATCTCTAGTTCATTTAATGCGCTCTCTTGACCACCCCGTGAGTCCCATGTTTTAATGCACTGGGCATGCAGAAGTGGTTGTTATTTAATGAGCTAGCACAGCTGTGATTTGAGATAATTTTCTAATCTCTTCTTCAATAACCAACTGAAATTGCTTACGTTTCACTACAGTAACGCTAATGCAAAGCGCAGACGTGGACAGTTGGCATGAACGCATGACAGCAGCTAAACTATGCAGCAATCCACTCTTGACCTTTATAAGTTACCATCAGACTAAATGGGAGCCCACCTCTACAGGCAATATTAATTTTACAAAGGCTTTCTGTATTTGTGTTTAGAGTTCCACAGCATCTTAAAGTTTCTGGAGAAAAGTCTTGAAAAATACTGACTGGACTGGTTTTTGAAGGTAATTTGTTTCATCCTATGTAATTGTGCATAATTTGCTTCCTTTTGTGCAAAGAAAGTAACGGTCTATCATGTGTTTTGATTTGGCTCTTGCTGAAAACTTTTGGTGCAAGTGCCCTCTGTGTCCATGCGAAGTTGACTTCAGAAATAAGGCGGAAATACAACAAAGATTCAAGGTATTAAGAAACGCAGCATACGATCTTCTTCCACTGACCCAAGAATCCCATAAAACACCAGGTTCAGATGGCAATCACGTTTTCAAGATTTGAAAGTTCAGATTGTAGGTCTCTAGCAACTTGCTTCATGCTTCTGACCCGTTTCTATCACTGCATTACACAGAGAGATCAGATAGATTATTCAAAACCTCAGGATTTTTTCCTCTGTCTTTTTTCTTCTGTAGCTCTGATTAAATCCACCGTAGGTGCTGGCCATGATTCTCTGTTGTATCACATTCTTTTAGCTTTTGTCTATGAGTTAGGCTTTGTGTTTTACCTGAGAGATTCTGTTAGAATAATGATGGTATTATTGTGATATTGGGACTCAATATTCTGTTCCTTCTTTCCACAGGAAATGTTCAGCAATTCACAGATTGATTGATTTTGCTGTTTATTGTGTTTTCCATCACTGATAATCTAACAGAAGCTCAGAGTTTTTGGGATACACTGCTATCTTTTGAGGGGTGTGGGGTAGGAACACCTACAACAACCAGGAAGAGAGCGTCCCAGTACTTCCTCGCTACAGGTTGTCAGCGTCAATAATTGCTCCCAAGCCCAGAAAAGGGTTGCAAGAATGAAGTCAGATGAGAATGTGAGTATATACAAAGTTCTGGAATCAGAAGCAAGTGTATTGGTAACCATGGCAACACAAACATAGAGGGCTATCGCAAAGGGTGGAGATTAGAATCCAGCTTATAACTGAGATTTCTCAAGTGATGGAGGCAGAGATTCTGCAAACTTCACAATTACAGGAGGTTTTATTTCCCCAAGCTCCATGTTGCTTTGCTCAAGCAAAAGTACTTTTTTTTTGGGGGGGGGGGCAGAAAAAGTCTCACCGAGTTCTGATGTTTATGAGCAAAGTAGCATGGAAAGTATCATATGCACTATGGGTAAGCCCTGGGGAAAATAGTTTCCTGATCCTGTCTCTTAGTTATCTATCTGGAATTTTCATCTTTCAAACACGGGCTAAGTAGACATGGCAACACATTAATTGATTTATGTGCACGGAATCCAACTCTGATTGGAAAATATAGTTAACAGATGTGGTTATGTGACATTTTCTGTTGGGAGGGAGTCACCTCTTTTTTACACAAGTAGGGCTAATGCACATCTAACCCTCTAGCCTTCTATTTTCAAGGGATCCCTACACACTTATTTCATCTTATTATTATATAGAATTCAGATTATGAAAAAAATACAGAATTAAGCACCATGCTATCCCACATTCAGTCTACTACTGGCAGATGTCTGGAAAATGAAAAAGCTTGAACAGCCAGTCATTGGGACACAGATATTTTATTTAGCTAGCAAATGGGTCTGAATGGGAAAACCTCACATTTCCCCCACCCCTATTCCCAAACTTGCTCAAGGAGCAGCACCCATCAGAGCTCCACACAAAGCTTTATCCCTGCTACAGTTGAGGTCATTCATGTAATTAGACTCTCCTACACCTACTATTGAAACCAGACTCATTTTGGTGCCTTGATACGAGTTCAATCATGCTTATGACATAATACAGCCAACAGTGACGTTCATGTAAAGTCTGAGGGCATTTAGTAACCACAACAATATGACTTATGCAGCTCATTCGTAGACAAGGCAGAACTTTGCAAAGGCAAGGTGATCCATGTAGTTTGGACATCTTTTGCGGGGGTTTCATACATGCAAAGCATGTGCTCTGCTATTGAGACACATTATGCCAAAACAACCTGATTTGCAATGTTTTTGTCTTTGTACACACTGATGCATTATCCCTTAGGGACAAACTAGGTATTACATAGCAGACTTATGTAGCAGTCTTCCAATGTGGTTGTGTCTATGGGTTTTTTTTTTTGTTTTTTTTTAAGAAAAGGAAAAGAATTGAGGAAATCTCTCCCAGTTTGAAGTGAGGAATGGGCTACATAAACCTTTCTCTCCTGGCTATTTTGCTACTCAAAATCTCCTCCCTGCTGCTCTTTTGCTTATGGAATAATATATATATATATATATTTACTCTGGTTGGAAAGGCAACCTGGCAGTAGGAATTTTAACAGGAAAAATGTCTAGCTGAAAAAGGTTAAGCAGTTCCTTCCCTGCTATATTTCCACTCAAACTGGCAGCTTCTTTTGGATGATTTCAAATTTTTAAAACATGTCAGAAGATTGTTAGTCTTCTGCCACGTAATGACCAGTTCATCCCTTAGTTTCAGTAACTCACAACAATAAATGGATGATCCTTACGGTAATTAAAATTAAACCGAGTTTGATTCGAACAATGATGGGATCAAGAAACACATATAAGCATTATAACATTTTTGTCTCTCTTACTGCACTTCTAGGCCCCAATGGAATTGCCTTAGAATTGCTGCATGTTATCTTTACATGATGTGATGAGCTGCCGTTTGCCTGTCTTCCACAAGCTTCTCACATGCAGGAAACGTGTAAAAGCATTGAAAGAGACAAGAATTCACATGCTTTCATAAGAAGTTAAGGTAGATTTGTGAAAGTGTTCCTTTGGATCTCCTTTTTTTGTAGCAAAGTCCCATTGGGTCAAAAGGCTCAGTCTTCCCTCAGTGTCGAGATGTTTCCCAAACACAGAACATAGCATCAGTGCATCTCAGAGATGATGCATAATTCTAGTGGGAGGGACAGTCCGTTATCAGAGAAACAATGTGTTGTTAGTGTTGAATCATTTCTGATGAAGAAAGAAGCTAAACCTTTCCAACCTTCATTCATTACTTTAGGAGGAAACATTATTCTCCCCTGTCTATTGTCTGAGTACATGGCAGAGAGCGTAAACCATTTCAAGATAAGGCCTTGAGAGAGAACGAGAGACAGAAAAATAAATCAGTTACCTACATTTTCTTTTAATAAAACTATGGTTTAAAAAGTGACAGTGTGCTATGACGGTTTCAGAGTTAAAATGTCTAGTGCTATGAAAACCATTCATTAAGCTGCTCCAGTCCTTTTGAAGAGTTGGTCTTGGGCATGGCTAGTTTGCTACGTCTGCATTACACAGCCTGTAGAGGAGTATCTGAATTTGCCCCTTTTGTGTTCATAGAGGGGCTCTTACAACAGCTGGTCGATTTTTCCTTGTTCAGCCACTGAGCAGTGTGTAATGACTGGAAAAGGCATCAAATCCTCATTATTTTTCCTCCCCATTTTAAACTTCTTCAAGTTGTGGTCAACAGAGTGCCGAGTGTATCTATTGATCCTTATGCTCAACAAAGTTTTGTTTCTTGTTTCTCTGACAGAAAAATCCACCTAGAAGTCAATAAAATCCACCGCTGACAAAAATCATGGCTGCTTTATGACTACAACACAGGCCCCAGCTCTTCCGATGTTCAGAGATGCCATCTGCAGAGAAGAAACAAATATCAGCTTCAGAGTTTACATTTGGGAGTGAAAAGGCTGCAGTTTTATGGCATGTACTTCTGAGGTGTCAAAACAAGCAACTGGTAATTCAACAACACATTATACAGGAAACCTAATATTGCTGCATCCTTCTAGTTATGCATGGAAGCATTGCATTAGTGGTGGAGTTATGAGCTGGAGTTGAAGACCCTGGCCTACTGCCTCGCCTCCACAACTGCTATGAGGGACATAAAGATCTACAGTATCTGCAAACTGCAGCTAACAAATCCTGTTCTCCGTTACTCATTAATAACCTTTTAAATTATGGACTGTTACAGCTTCATACATGTATACATTAACTGTCTCCAAGTATTCCACAACATTCAGGCTTGCTTGTTTTAATGTGCTGCCTTCTGCACTGGTAAGTAGATGATTTAACAAGACCCTGATTAATGAACATGTGTTTGTGAGTAGCTCAAGCGATATAGACTCTGCTGATCATGTTTCTCTGTATTGTAACAGGGTATAGGAAAAGGTTGGTTCTCCCTCCATTGAAAGTCTTCTGGGAAGATCTCCTGAAAATTTCGAACTGTTTTGCTTAAGGGATGGGCTCTTACTAAGAGAATTGCAAGAGGGGGGAACTGACTTCAATTCAGATCAAGAGAATTCTTTTGCTGGCTTCTTGAAAAATATATAAAAAGAAATTAGTTTTATTTGTATGTGTTTTCATTAAATTTATAAGCAACGTTTTAATGTTCTCTACAGTTAGGCATGTTAAAAACAAATTGACAAATAAAATGAAGACACAAGTAAAAAGTGTACTTTGCAATGTGGAGTCTGAAAACTACAGCAAGCAGTAGTAATTTCAACTACAGTGGTACCTCGGGTTAAGAACTTAATTCATTCTGGAGGTCCATTCTTAACTGTTCTTAACCTAAGGTACCACTTTAGCTAACGGGATTCCGCTGCTGCCACGCAATTTCTGTTCTCATCCTGAAGCAAAGTTCTTAACCTGAGGTACTATTTCTGGGTTAGCAGAGTCTGTAACCTGAAGCGTCTGTAACCAAGGTACCACTGTATGTGGAACTCTGGAACTGCCACTTTTTTCTCTAGAGCATAGTGAAATATATTGGTTTACATTCATTGCATATCATGTATCACATTTCTATTCTTGTGACATTTATACTTACTGAAATTGTTCCTATGATTTTGGGAATAGAGTGAATGATGAAATATAAAGCCAAAAGCTAAATCATTGACTTTCCAGGTCAGAATTACTTTCCTTCCTGCTATATAATTTATCTGCAAGAGGTTTGATTTCAAGAAATGCAAAACAGCACTTTAACAAATGGGCCACGTGCTCTTGCCTTTCTTGCAAGGCAGAATAGCTCGGAGGCACACCCTTCTTATATTCAGTAGAAACTGTCATCCACATGCTATGATCCTAAATCACAATATGTAAGCTCCAGATTTGTAGCATTTACATATGGAGGAGAGAGAGACGTTTTAGCACAGTGGTGGGGAGACTTTGCCCTTCCAGATGCTGAACTACAGCTGCCATCAGCCCCAGCAAATATGGTCAATGGCAAAGGATGATGTGAGTTTCAGTTCAGCAATATCCGGAGGGCCAAAGGTTCCTAACCCCTGTTTTAGCAGATTCCCCTTCTCACATTAAAAGCTTGCGGCATGGACAAATGGACAGGCAAGTTGATGGGACAGATTATGTGCTAGCAATATAATTAATAAACTCCAGTCTTCTAATTCAAGCCTTTTAAGTGAGCTACCTTTAACTCCCTTAGCCTCAGCACAGACAGAGGTGTCTCCTCCATCCTGGCTCAGCCAGGACCCAGTCAGCTGAGCCAAGTCTAGTGGATCTTAAACTGGCACAATCCCTGGAAATGAGGCCTGGTGGGAGTGGGACTAGAGGGGCAGATTTGCCTGAATCCAACAGCCTGGATCCAACGGCCATTCAGCTTAGTCACATGACTTGGTGACCCAGCACAAAACACTATTTTAAAGTCTTCTGTTCCATCTGCCAGGCTCAGGTAGAGAGCAGTAGCCATGCTGCTGAATATGGTTTGGATCTAGTGCAATTTTATGCTGGTTTAATTTATGTCAGTTTCTTGTGTATGGGATTGCTCCCTTAATCATGTCTATTAAATTCAATGGGTCTACTCTGAGCAGAACTGGCATTAAATACCATCCTGCAAGTATACATAAAATAGTATTGAAATGAAAATAGTAATTACCAAATAATCCTACACTCATAAAGTTTCTAATAAAGGTTTGGGACACGTAGGAACAGAAAAGCTGGCACTTTTGAATTTGCCACAAATGTCTAGCAATTTTTAATCTGTTAGAATTCATAGTTGCCATATAGAAAAATGCCCTAAAACTTCCCATAGGAACATATTTCTCTTCCTGTGAATTCAAGCCGAATAGTAAGTCTCTAAGGATGATACAGACTTGATGGATATTATTCTGACTTTTTGTTGAAAGTCTGCATCCTTACTCATGGGCTTTGTTGCCTGATGCAGCAATGCACACAACAGAAACAACAAGGGCACCCCCTTGTTTCCAATTCCTATTGTACTTTGCTTGGAGGCCACTGGCTCTTGGCTTCAAAATGTATGCCACAACTACCTTGGGAGACATTGCTTCAAATGCCAATTAAGCCAAGCATAAGCTCAGTGGGGTGCTTCAGACAGTCTGCTGTCTGCGAGACTGAATTTCCTGGAAGAAATTATGCCCTTCTTTGCTGGGATGTTTGGAGGGCAAGAACTGCAAAACATACTTACTTGGAAGGTGTCCCACTCTAATCAACGGGGCTTCCTTCCAAGTAAACATGGATTGGATCATGGTATAAAACTGAAATACTGGTTCAATGCAACAACAGCTTTGGAAAATAGTAACCGCAAACTATAAGTTGTAACTAATAGAAAGTACTTTTTAAACGAACGTTATCTTTTGTACACAAAACATAAAACTGGGGGAGGGGGGAAACACCCTCGTCACAAATACAAACACCAGAGACTTGTAACAAACCCTGATGTATTTTCAAGCTGAAGTATTGTAAAAATGAAAGCTAAAAAAGGAAATAAGGATTCCAATGAGAGATCTGACAAATAAGGTTATATGGATAACAAGATACTGCCATTTTATATAACTTTTTCTTGGTTTCTCTCTCTTCGGAGAACTCTTACAGTAGAGAAAGCTAAACAGCAGTTATAATTGCATAGCTGCGGGGATCCTCGCTGCCCACTAGTTCCAACAAGCCTTCTGTGAAAACAGTACAAAACATAAAACCACACAACTACCTGTGTCCATTCATTAGTTTGGGGGTCGTATGACTCCATGGTGTTCAGGTATGTCTGCCCGTCATATCCACCTACTGCATACAATTTATCACCGAGGATACACACTCCAACAGCATCACGGGGCATGCTCAGTGGAGCTACCATTGTCCAAGTATCAGTTTTGGGGTCATACCTGCACAACGAAAGGGAAGGTATATCTCATGAAAGAACATATTTAGCAATCCAGCCCATATTCAACATCAGCAGAATTATTCATTCATTCATCCATCATGAACTTCCCAAAATCAACCGCTTTAGCAAGGGGGGGGAGGGGTCTGTCTCTTGAGGTTCCTGCTCCGTGTTTGCAGTCATGAGACTGTTGTCTATCACATGACGGTGTATGTTTTCATTCCACAGTGTGGGAAGTGACAGAGACAGGATGTTTATGTTACTGTGTTCTGTGACGTGGGACTGTTGTCCTTTGTTCTTTCTCTCTTTGCTGTCTAATGTGAAAGAGGAAGGAGCTAAGGAAGAATGCTCCGAGTGTATTATATGTAAATAAAAGTAGATTAGCCAAAATGCTGTGCTACTGAGTTCTGTCACGCAAACTGCAAATACTCTGCGGATCCCTAAGTGTGCTGATGCTTCATAGTATCAGTCACTGTGATGTTCAGGCAGAAGAAAGCTTTTGAAGCTCCTGAACGATCGACTAGGAGGGAGAGTACATGCCAGTCGGGCATCTGCCTCTGCCAGAGTCCTACAGGAGAGTAGGACGATCCTAACACTGTCATGCCACAAACACTGAATTCACAAAGGTAATAATAATAATAATAAATTTTATTTATATCCCGCCCTCCCCAGCCGAAGCTGGGCTCAGGGCGGCTAACAACAACCTATCTTCACTAGGTTCCTTTCAGCCATTCAAGTGCTTTTAAGACTGTTTATTATGTACTACACCTTAAGTCCCAACCAGCCCTATTAGTTCGCTGTTTAATCAAGTCGCTCCTCCCCTACTATCCATTACAGCAAGGCTCCATCAGAACCAGATTATCCAACATGCAATGTAGGGGTACCTCAGCGAGGTGCGAGAGCTTAGTATGTAGCTCCAAATTCTAGGTAAAGGCTTTTAAAACTCAGAATCCCCACTTCAGTTTACTCTTGCAACTCATATGGTGAAAGGTCTACAGGAATTTCAGTAGACAGTGTCTATCTGTGCCTGACAATTGGACCTAATCCTATCACTTATTCAAATGCCATGCATAATTACAATCTTAATGTAATCAGAAATTGGTTTCAAGCAATGGGTTCAAAGTATTGTAGGTTATAAATATCAAGATGGCTGATATGTACAAATTTGTAAATGCACCCCACATTTCCCTGCATGGGTGAATTCTGCAAGTTGATTCTGCTGGTGAGGTAACATTTACAATCTCTGAATCTTGAGTTCCAAACCATTTTGGGTAAGGAATAGAGTGATTAAATGCCCACTTCACTTCACAGTTGGCTATCAAACATACTGAATTTGCTATATGCTTCCCATCAATATGAACTGGTTCATAGATCCATCTTAGGACATTAAAAAAAACATATGAAGTATGCAAACATCAAGTAGCACAGAACGCAAGCATCTCTAGTGGGTTAAATATTATTATTTAGTAAGATTTATCTCCTAAAAGATAATCAACTATTGTCAGTTTATATTAAATACTGATTGTAAAAATAGCTTCTACTTTTAATTCTCCATTAGGATTTAACTGGGTGCCATTGTTTCCTGTGAAAGCACTTAAAAGCATTTCTTTTGTTACTTCATTTGTTAAAACATTCTGTATGTGGAACGTTAGGCATTTTTACGATTAGCACTGTAATAAAAGCTCTCAATATTTTCCAATTTCAATTAATATTAATGAGAAGTTACTTTATTAGACTTTCATAACAATTATTTCACTATAGATGATGCTGGGGGTTGTAAGGGCTTTTAACAAGTGGAAAGCTCAAAAACCTTTCTCCTTGCCTTCAGCTTGGTCGTTCAAATTGATTTCTTTTTGTATTCAGGAACTTTATGATATCTCCTGCTTCACCCTGGGGCACATCAAGTTATTACAGAGATGAAGCACGCAGCCATTTCTTTAGCAGAAGAAACAGCATTGCAAAAAAAGAAGGCAACATTTGAACTACTACACTAGTATCTTTTACGTTCTGTTTTGGGGAGTTCCAAGTATTTTATTAGTCCCTTGCTACTTGCATATTAGAAAAAACAAAAGGATGGTAAAAAAAGGAGGTGGCATTCTTGTTTGGACTGTATTTTGTTTTTGTAGGTTTTCACCTTGATTTCTTTGTGGTTGAAAGCAACAGTCCTGCAAAAAGCACCCTATTAAGGTTTATTTCCCTCAGGTGTGTGGAAATAAAAACACACACTTGCTGATACTGATTGTAATATGTCCATCAGCCACAGCACTGCAATGGTCTTGAGGTCGATGCCCCCTTTAGTCTTAATTTAATGGAATATTTAACTATTTGTAACACACTGTTTTTTAAAACAAAAACTGTGCTTGCTTTTTGAAGGGGTAAGGTAAGGTAAGATAAATAAACACATCATCTGATAACAAGTCAGGGGAACAATTCTATACGAAAGAAACTGGCATGAAGGAAAACAAATGTAAATTAAGCTGGTCTAAAGCTATGCCAGAACAAAACTCACTCTCACTGAGCCGGCCTAAGCCTAGCAGAGGGGAAGCAAGCCTTTATAATAGTGTTTGAATTACGGCATCCTTTCTGCTGGCTTAAATACATGTAACCTCTACATGTCTGAATCACCTTGCCGAAACAGTATTTCCTTTAACATAAGGTAATGCAGGTTCTTTTATGTTGGAATTATTCTGCAGAAAACTGTGCGCAACACACAATTTATTGCCGGAAGGACTCAAGTGTTGGGGCAGAGCTAAAAGTGCTCCTCCACTCTGCAGAACACAGCTAAGCCTCTCTCGCCCTGATCTCGTCACTGTGATCCATGTGACAGTCACCTCCAGGCTTGATTATTGTAACTCACTCCATGTGGGGCTGCCCTTGAAGCTGACCCAGAAACTCCAGCGGGTGCAGAATGCCGCAGCGAGACTCCTTACAAGGTCCTCGCCTCGGGATCACATTCATCCAGTGCTATACCAGCTGCACTGGCTCCTGGTGGAGTACAGGATCAGGTTTAAGGTGCTGGTTTTAACCTTTAAAGCCCTATATGGCCTAGGATCCTTGTACCTATGGGACCACCTCTCCTGGCATGCCCCATGGAGGACCTTACGGTCTGCAAATAATAACAGCTTGGAGATCCCGGGCCCCAGGGAGATTAGGCTGGCCTTGACTGGCCTGGTGGAATGCTCTGCCACAAGAGATCAGGGCCCTGCAGGATTTGACATCTTTCCACAGGGCCTGCAAGACGGAGATGTTCTGCCACGCCTTTGGTCAGCCTGACCCCCTTTCTCTTTTTGTATAAGAACTAGTATGAAAGAGGCCTCCCAGCATTCTCACAGACCCATATAAGAACAGCGTAAACGGTTGGGCCTGATGAACATTTACAGTTCCCAACCCTAATCCTGCGGAAAGCCATCTAATTAGATTTTAATTTGATCCTGACTTGTTTTTAGGAGGTAATTTAATTATTGTTTGATTTTATACCAATGTTATATATTTCAAGTCAGAAGCCCTGAGCCCAGTCTCGTCCTGAGAGGGTGGGATACAAATAAAAGTTTATGTTTATTAATATTATTATTATTACTATGCCCCAGATGTCAGAGAATGGGGTTTGGGTAATAGGTAGAGCAATGGTCTAATTACAAGGAAGTTTCAGATCAATTCTGAAAGAGAAGAACAAAGAGCTGACAAGCCAATTTTAACTTAAAGTATATAGCACAAATTATTCTGCGAAAGTGTTACATCTCTGTCATTTATTGATCGGCATAAACAGATTTTAGAAATATTTCCAATGATGAAATTAACAGGGGAGAGCTAAGGAGGAAAGAATATTGATAGCTTTGCTTAAAAATGGGCTGTAATTATTGTACTTGGGAATAACTAATTTCAGAACAATGTTCAGCTTTATACATTGTTTTTCTTATTGCAATTAACCTGTAGCTGTTATTTTAAGAGTTTATTTTAATAAATTCAAGCAATAAGACAACGGAATACATATTTATAGATCTAAGGATGTTTAAGGGAGGAGGGGAACAGTCAAGTTTGCATTCAGAATCGCTACGTAAAAACACATACAGAATGGGTACCTTTCAACATAGTCCAGGAGTCTGGAGCAGTGGTTAGAGGCAGGAGCATCATGGCCTCCGACTGCATAGAGGAAACCGTCACAGGTAGCCACCCCAACGCCTCCTCTCCTTTTACACATTGGAGCACACATGTTCCATTTGTTTGTGTGGGGATCATAATACTCCATAGAACTCAAACAAGAACTTCCATCTCGACCGCCAACTGAATATAACCTAAAATAAACCACATACAAATTACTAAGCATAACATACAGTGATAGAAACAAAACTAGGAAACAATTTCCTTTCCCCCCATATCTACAATCTACACACAGGGGTGGATCTACTGTGAAACTAAGAGGGGCCCCAGAAGCGACTTACAACATTGCTGAAAGGTTTTGGGGCCACTAGACCCAAACTGAGTTGCACGACTCATATTGATTCATTTTTTACCTTGTATATATTCCACAATTCCAAAGCATGAAATCCTCATTGCTGGTTGTGAAGGGCCCCCCGTGGCAGTTCAAGCTTTGGGAGGCCCAAAATGGAGGTCAGCCACTGTACTCATGCAATTCATACGGTAAAAATGTGTCTAAACCATATGCTGAATAGCTATGAAAAGAGATTTTAAAAACAAACAAACAAACCCTTACATTTCTGCATACAAAATTCACCCATTTCTTATTTTTGGCCCTTATACAAACTGGGGTATCTTCAAGCCTCTTAACAGCATCGTCTTGTGACGGATTGTGCTATATTTCAGCTCTATAAGAATCGGTACACGAGTAATAAGATGACCAGTTCAGCATTAGTGGTGATGTGGCGTTGCAGAGGGGGTAGGGGCTGAGGTTGAGAGGAAGCGGGTTACCTAAGGTCACCTCCTCAGTTTGTGGTGGAGGTGATCAGAACTGTAGCTAGGTGATCTTGCAGCCCTGGCAGAACCGTCCAGATTGCGCCCCCTACCCCCTAACAAATTAGCTCTTCTTTCCGCCTCTCCTCCAAACCCCCCCCCAATCCATTCAATTCACCCTCTGTTTAAAGCCATTTCTTATGAAGCAATAATCAATATATTTATGGACATATTTTTAGCTGGTTTTGCCCTCCCTCCCATCGCCTGTGTGCCTGGTGGGGGGCCACTTCACCACCCCCTAGCTACAGCCCTGGAGGTGATGCAAACCAGGAATTTCCTGATTCATCACTGGGGGAGGGGGCAATCCTATGGTAGGCTCAGCTGGCATTAAGTCCCCAAGCCAGCTCAGCCAAAGATAACACCAGCATATTACTGAAATTAATGGAGCTTACTTATGAGTAGGCATGTACTAATGGTGCTTACTTATGGTGTAGACACACACTACACCAACACTCAATTTGAGTGTTTGTCGCAGAGCATTAATACTCTTTTATGTCAATTGTGAGACATAATTTCTTACAGACTGCCATTTAGGATTGGTTTATACATAGAAATCAGGGGTGGGGGTGGGAATTCTTTAAGACTACTTAGTATTGCGATGGTAAAGTGTTCAGTAACTAAAATTCCAAATCCATTTGGAAGCTTGCTCCAGGGCAAATAAAACATAATTGGTTCCACCCCATATAAGTGCACATGAGAAAATTATTCTGATTGCAGTCTAACAATGTTGACACACTGAATGCATTTCTTATAAGAATTCTTTCACAGTTTGTTGCCTGTTGTACACTGCCTAGAGAATAATAAAATTTATAGAAATGTGGAGCATTTTAAAGTCCAAGCACTGAGCAATTTGGGATGCAAAACCTCCGATCAGTGAAAGAATTATTTACTTGGAAGCCTTTATAGTCCTAAGTACTTCATAAATTCTCAGCTAGTTAAATGTATATTTAAAGTTTCATTGTTAATTAAGCTGTATTCTCCTCCTCCTACTGTATCTTATGAATGCATGGCATTTTGAGGTCCTCTTGTTTCTTGTATGGTGTGTGTCTCACAATAGGAATGCTCTCTCAGAATAGTTTACCTATGTTCACATTTTGATTCCAAGGGACATGATGTCAAGTGACTGGGCTGATTTTGATTTATTGTTCTATAAATTAATCTGCAATTTATAAGAATCAAATCATTATTGTAGTGGTTGCCATAACCAATGCAGCTTAGTATACGTTACTGTAAACCCACAAGCATATTTAAGACTGAATACAAGTAGAAAGAACAGCCACATCAAAATGTTTATGCCTTCTAATTAAATACCATGCTTCACAGTGCAACACTGTGCATATGTATTCAGTAGTAAATCTCACTGAGTTGCACGGAGCCTATTCCCTTGCAGGCACAGGTGCATAATGACCGTGGCAGGTGAAGGGAGGGCCACAAGAACGATTGGTATTGGGTTGGATTCGGCCACAACCTTATTGATTACAGGAAAGAGCAGATTTGGCTAAGGCATTGGGCATGTATCCTGCATCAGGCAGCCTGCCTGCTACCTGAGAGGAACCTGGTTTGGTCAAACCTGTACTGGGGAGTCACCCCCAACATGGACTGGATGCCACAACCCTGCACAGACCACCATTGGGAGAGGTGCTTTGGCCCACTGGTCCCCTAGGGGTCTCCTGGACAGCGTCAACCTCCTGGACCCCTCTAACAGGGTACCCCTGTGACTAAGGATCCAGCCGAATACCTCATCTGCTGCTACGAGGTAGGCGCAAAACCTATAAGCCAGCAAATTTGCTAGGAGAAAATTCCTCCCTTGCCCCTAATACGGCAACCAAATTAACTATAGCAAGGTCCATAGGCAACGTGCCCACTCCTCCCCCTCGGTGGGTCCCTAAAGACAGGGTAGAAAAATACCACAACAATCAGCCAAGGTGGTGGTCTACAGCTGGCCACCCCCTTAAATAGGCTGGGGCTGGGCTGCAGCCCCAAGCCCCAGCCTCTGATTGGCTGAACGGGCACTGCCCATCCTGACCTGAGGGTCCGACACGGCCGGAGATGGGCAGTGCCAGCCATGCCCTCCCCAGGCCGCGACTGGAAGGTGGCAACCTCCCTGAACCTACCACGGCAGCACCATGAAGCAATGGCCACCCACCCGAACTCCTAGGCAAGCAGATAAAGTAAGTATAGGCAGGATTGCAGCCTTGGGGTTGATTCTGCTTTTTCATGCATGACCAGCAAGTTGAATTCATCCGGGTGAGAAACAAGTTGTGCAACTCTTCATTACATTGTAGGTCTAATGGCAGATTCCTAGGCACTGTTCAACCATACATATTGGATTTCTGAATCGGTAAGTATGTGAAAGAGCCTAAGACCTCTACAGTGAGAAAACAAGCATGCAGCCGATCTACCTTAGGTGTTAGTTGTGTCACAGAAATATTACTACCTTACTAGGAAAACAGCTGACAGTAACTTGTAGTGCTCAAGAGAGAAAGCATTGAAAAGGATGCTTAAGAAAGCTGAATGTACTCACCTAATTAACAGTGCAATTCTATGCATGTTTACTTGAAAGTAGGTCCTACAATGTTCAGTGGAGCTTACTTCCAAGTAAGTGTATTCCTGGGATTCATTTAGGATCAGAGGAAGGGTGCAATATAAATACAATACATAAAATTGTATGAAGTTGAGCTGGCCCTTTTCCTTCAGGGGATGATTTAGTAGAAATGTATTCTTATTTTACAATGGATTGTTTTAATCTTTGTACAGTAAGCACAGCAACAAAGCAAACCATTGAATTATACTTCAAAAACTGAGGATGGGGAATAATTCCATGCCTAACGCAAGACTTACTTGTCAAGCTGCCTGTCACAACAGATTGTTTCATTTCCTTAACATCATGGTGTACATATTTGTGCTTGTTTTTGTAAACAAATATATTTCTTCCCATCTCGAGATCATTAACTAACTCATGCAATTGTTTTGCACCGGATAGCGGCGTTTCAGTAATATTATTCTTTGACAGATCAATCATGTTAGATATAACACTCATCCACTTTGTTCATTCAGGAGACATTGATCATGCTGTTCTCTATCTGGAATCTCTGAAAACAGAGTGTTCCGAATACTCCATGGCCTTATGAAATAATTTCCAACTAATGATTCTCATTTTTTCCTTCCATACTTTCTGAGATAAGAGTCAGATCAATAGTGTACTTTAGGACTTATACTTGTGTGTTGAAAAGAATGCTTAGAGGACAATCTTATGGCAAGTTCCATTACGATGAGTAACTTAGGTTGCAGTGGATCTCACAATCAGCCAGCGGATTCCCAGGTCAGTTAGGCTCAGTCAGCATTAAGACCCCAACTCCAACTTTGGCTGAGCAAACACTGGTGTAAAAGGTAAAAGGACCCCTGACTGTTAGGTCCAGTCACAGATGACTTTGACGCTGCGGCGCTCATCTCACTTTACTGGCCGAGGGAGCCGGCGTACAGCTTCCGGGTCATGTGGCCAGCATGACTAAGTCACTTCTGGTGAACCAGAGCAGCGCACGAAAATGCTGTTTACCTTCCCGCCGGAGTGGTACCTATTTATCTACTTGCACTTTGATGTGCTTTCAAACTGCTAGGTTGGTAGGAGCAGGGACCGAGAAACGGGAGCTCACCCCATTGCAGGAATTTGAACGGGGGGGGGGACTTAGGCTGCATCCTTAGCCAGCTCAGCTAGGTCAAATCCTATGACCTGCATAGGGTACTGTTTTAACATATTGTTTTCCCTTTGCAAGGCTTAGGAAGAGCAGCAACAGCAGCAGTCCTGCTGCTGAATGAGGTTTCAGAGAATCATAAAATTGTGCAGTTGGAATGGACCACAAGAGTCATCTAGTCTAACTCTCTGCAATGGAGGAATGTTTTTGTCCAATGTGGGGCTCGAACCCACAACCGTAAGAGTCTCATGCTCTATTGAGCGAGTCTGGTATAATTTTATGCCTACCTAATTTACACTGACTTGCTTTATGCCAGCTTCTTGTGCACTGGGTTGCTCCTATAGTTGATTACTCAATCGCAATCTAGCGGATTCATTGGGTTGATTCAGTTTTAATAGATCTCCATGTAACTAAAACCCCACGAGAGTATGACGGAAGTGTCACAGCATGATCTTACACATGATCTTACTTAGAGGTCCACTGAACTCAGAGGCTTACTCTCAGGAAAGTGGGTCCAGTATGAAACCTAATATGGTTTACATGTTAATACAGGCAAAGACTCCCACTCATTGATAGGAGGAATTTTTGCTTTTGTTCACCAAAACAGAATAGCATGGGTGGGGGGGGGGGAG